GGATGTGCTGACTACAAATATTGTTATATAATCTGCGGCATCTTAACGACTCGAGCAAAAAATAAGTCCTTTACATTCAAAAATGTATAGATTTATATAACATTTTATTACTTTCATATTATATGGCGACGCCATAGGAACAAAATAACATTACAGGTGAATATGTATAGCATTCCAAGTGCTATGTTATAAGATTGTGCCACCATAGGTTTTAAGAAAAATAAAGAAAATACGATTTCCCTTAGTATAACAGGTTTTGTACATGCGTACAAGTATTTGAATAGCGGGGTGTGGTTGGTGGCAAATAATATTTAAAATAATAAGAATATACGATAACAATGTGATAACTGCAAATAACAAAGTGATGAATAATAACTGAAACTGACAATGGGTTCTGGTTACGGTGGTGGTGGTAGGAGTAGGGAGTAGTTAGTAGGAGTAGGTGGTGGTGATTGTGACGTGGGCGGTGGCAGGGAGCAGGAGTAGGTTTTAGAATCGGCTATTTTATTTTATTAACGTCTAATTAGAGATGGAAAACACAGTTTAAAATAACCCATAATTGAGTTTTCATAAAATTAAATTGTGTATAAATGTCACATACCACGCACACATGGTTAGGTCTTTTAGATCGTGTAATATGTATTAATAGGTAATGAACTTCGAATTTTTTTACAGTACAGACATCAGATCGCATACAGTAGGGAGTTGTATCTAGTTTATCACATCATTAGAAAATAGGTACCTTAGGGTTGAATTAGGTGAATATTACGTATTTTTGAAAGAATGGACAAAATTCTAAAAGCCCGGCCTTTTAGACCATGAAGCGAGTGCTCTAGGATTAAATTAATATAATGTATTTTTTAGCCAAATAATAACACTGTAAAGCCTAAATATAGACTTGTATTGTAATGTTATGTTATTACATTAGGATTATGGAGAAATATTTATTTATACTCAAATAGATTAGTATTACATATTAATTATTGAAAATAATCAATTAACAACTATTTATAGTTCAATGCATGTTAAGTATATATTTTAATCCTTAAAAATTCACAATTTTTCAGATGCATCATAATATTTGAATAGTAAATGCTTAACTCGCTACTTCCATTAACGACCATTAATAGACGTTTAATGTACATCATTTTATAATAAAGGAAATGTTTATTTAGTTATCATCAAATCTATCTAACGATTTAATGTGTATATAACTTATTCGAGCGCGTTATTAGTAAGCGAATGAAAAATCACAATTCAATGGTATTATTTTGAAATTTTGACGATGGTTAAATTAAATATGCAAATGTATTTCTCGTAAGCTATTAAATATAAATGAATATACGTACTAAGTTACTTAATTTAAGTATGATATAGGTACTAGATAAAATAATAACTTTGTTGTTTAAATTCAAGTAATATAATATTTATATGTTAAGTGTTAGATACTTTTCGTAGATTTGTTTAAACTGATACGTTACGGTGATAGAACTCAGTAATGTATAGCATTAGAAATATATTTTAATTTTCCAAAACCATTTTATTAAGTTATTTTTCTGAGTGCTTTTAAATGTTTTGCAATATTATTTGTTATTGTTGTTGCATAATATACGTATTTTTTATTACAAAAACAATAATTGTAATATAATTTCAAAATTAACATACCTACATCACTATTGTGTATTGATATCATTTTTACTTACAATTTAAAATTTAAAATTATTTATTAGATTCTAAGTTAGTCCATAAATGAATTAGTTTTACAACAGTGTATTATTTTATTGTTAATTAATTGTTTTTATTTGTGTTATCACGTTTTGTAGCATCACATGTATAGAGATTTAAAATTGTCTAATATTGTCGAATATGTTGATGAAAATTTTATCTCTTAGTCAAAAAAACCCCTAAAGTTTAATAAAAGGTTTCATATGTATATTAACTATCGTAAAAAACCCAGGTACAAACACGGCTAATGTTCTTACCATCAAGTTTCATAATAGGTAGATTCACTCTAATCTAACAAAGTTACACAAGCGATCTGCTGAGCGTAAATTTTCTGTATTATGCGCTTGTAAGACGGATACAACGCCAGTGTTACACGTCTTACATACTCTTAATAATGTAAAATATGTAATATATATGTAGGTATAATAAACAATCAAAAAGCATTTGTTTATCTTGTAAATAACTATATTTATAAAATAAGCAAGAAATAAAGAGAGCTATTGACTAGTATGGGTGTATTAATATGACAAAATACAAATTAGCTAATTCAAAGTTTCAAACAGTCTGTTTATTTATTATTTTAGTTTGATGTGTATATTGTAGGTACCTATTATTTTAATGTGAATTAATCGTGGATATTTATTTTTATCAACAGTTTACACACATCTTTGGGAATCCTCAATTTTTCATCGTATAAATTGTTATTTTTTTTTTTGTCTCTTTTTATTTATTGGTATATTCTAACATTTTTCAATTAAAAAAGATGCAAATAGACAAGTTACATTAAAAATTTCAATCAAGTCCAATAGAAAATAACTTTAAAATTTTGAAGAAATTTATGCCTAAAAATAACTATGTTTGACTATTTTAATAGAATTTTTGTACACTAGAAAATGGATGGGTAAAATTAATACATTTATTTCATTGTTAACGAGAATAGTATAATACAAAAAACTAAAATAGGTAAGTACTTACTACTTATAGCGAGACATAAATATTTAATGAAAAAATTATTAATTGAGTGAAATTGTAAAATATAAATTTTTTATATTGAATTATTGTGCGTTCTTGATAAGCAGTTATTTATTATTTAATACGATAACAAATCCTTGACGGATGATGTAGATATGATGTGTATCATTGAGTTGCTGACATACTTAGCTAATCATGCATTCATGCTATATATTTCGTATTTTGCGGTCTCCGCACTACGTTAAACTTAAATATTATATATATCACGCATAGCAGTGTTTCCCAACGTTTTAATGAAGGCGACCCATAAATTTACTGCTTGTTAGTTACGCAACCTACCACACTAAAAAAAAAAAATGTATATAGTGCCACCGGATGTAAGCAATACATTTACCCATTAGAAAAATTAAGACTTGATGTACATACGTTATATTATAAAATTTGAGTATTTAAAAATGAGTGTCTAATCGTAAGTTAAAACTTTTCGTTTCTACCAACTCTCGAAGTCTCTGTATGTGCTGCTTATTGTTCAACTATATGGAAAATTGACCGATACCACATCGACAGTCATTAGCACATAATATACCGATAAGATAAAAATATAATACAAACATTACAAACCTTGCTAGGAATATATTGATATCTACATTATACGATATACAATACAAGCGAGACTTCACATTATTATTATTAAACGTAGAGGTATCAAATAAAACATAACTTGGGCATTTATAAACGTTCTGTAAAAATTATTTTCACGTATAACATTTAATAATTCGCGACCCGATCCCATCATCAACTTACCAATAGACGGTGTTGCTGCGATTTCCGTGGTGTGGTGGTCAGTCGCGCGTGTTTTTGTTAATTATCAATAATACAATTGTTATCACTTTGTTGGGCGAAGGCGGTTGTGCCGATGACCAGACTAAAAACAGCCGATCATTAGCTTTATTGTCGCCGTCAATTGGTCACCGGCATCATTTTCAATATAGCCGGAACTTACTGGAGTCGCGTGATTATTATTTTTGTATTACATACATCATACGGTCAAATTGTACCACGATTATTATCGTAATTTATTGTTATGGTGCTTGTCAGAAAATTATTATTATTATTATTATTATTATCATCATACTCACGACGATATAGCTCATATTATTTATCATATTTTTGTAAAAGCGTGGTTGATAATATTTTATTGAATTTTTAATATTTATATATTATGTTTACGTGACTTTTGCCACTTATTAATCTGTTTTGAACGTATAATATAGCCTTTACGTACGGCTCAAATATTGTATAGAATTTTGTATGGTCAACTTTCAGTTATTACCTAGGAAATCCTCAATATTATTAAAAGATAACTATTTAAAACGTATTATTTCGGTGGTGTAGTCGTCTAGGCAGACCGCTCAAATTGTAGGAGCCTCATGACTAAACATATATATTAGTTAGTGAAGTGTATGGGCTAATGTTGAAATCAGTTAGACTTCAGAAATATGTTGGAAAGTACAAACTGCTCACGGTACTTGTACAAAATATTATTTTTGACTTTAGTCTGGGAAAACTTAGTTATAAAACATCAATTTGGAGGAATTTTAAATACTAACAATAATGAAAATAATATTGTTTTATTATGGTTATAAATGATTATTAATAATATAAACTAAATATTAAAGTAAAAAGGACATTTTATTCAAAAATAATTAATTTGTGAATTTCTTAATGAATTTTTTATTTATTTAATTTAATTAATATTATAATACTACAATGACTATAGTATAATATAATTAAAATTGTATGTTATTTATTATTTATTTTATCGTTATTTATAAAAGGATAATATTAAATAAAAAAAAGGAAAGTAGGTAACTACTACTTTACTGTGGAGTAGGTGGTTGTGTGTATCGTCAATTGTCATCAAGGAGTAAGTTACATAGAATTTTCTAATTTGATAATATTAAAGAAATACTTAAAGTAGTTAACTACTTTGAAATATATGATTTTAAATGGTACTATAGTTCTGTCTAAAATAAAAGATAAAATATGATGAACAAATTAATTTAATTATTAAAACAAAACAAGTAATAAATGTTTACACTCAACATTTGAACAAATCAATACTAACTAAATAAACTTAAATTAAAATATTTTTTTGGCTTTTAAGATATAATTTTAAATTTGTTACTATTACATTATAATATAGGCAAATTAACTATGAAAATTTTCAAAACCAGTAAGTTATTTACAACATAAAGCTAAAATTTAAATAACTTTTAAGAGAACACTATTATTAAGCTGTATCACTGAAAAAAAAAAATACCATTTTATGAAATTGTCTTCCTTATCCATATTAAAATGGTCTTTCATCTTCATCACTATGATTAAAATCTTTAATATTTCCATCTTCATCATGCCATCTAAGTCTTTCTTCATAAAAGTTGATAACAAATTGGGTATACTTTACATTAGCTTCTACAGCTGGAATTTTTTCAGGTTTTTTAATTCCTTTCCACTTCATATATAACACCAATTCGTCAAAATTATTAGTTATACCAACAATTTTTTCTGGTACTTTTTCGGGAGAAGCCGTAGAATCGGAAATATCACTTGACAAATCTGACCAACTCTCATCTTCAACATTAACCTTATCGCTATCATTATCATTATCTTTGTTCTCATCTGACTTATTGGATTTATCTGACTTATCAACTTTATCAATCTTTTTTTTCCGTAAAGGTGATATATTTCCACATTCCTTTGATGGACCAGCATCTGACGATGCATAACTTGTAACAGTTGAGTTAGATGACGTTCGTTTACGGCTACGCATTGGTTGTTCCCTTCTATTTTCTTCTTTTAGTTTTGATTGTTCTTCAAAATCTTTAATTAATTCATCACAATCAAGATTTTCTTCAGGTTCCCAAGTACTCTTTGAATAACCATCCCATTTGAGAAAATATTCCACTTTGCCATTTTTTATACGTTTTTTTAATATTTTTTCCACAGAATATCTTTTTTGTTCTTCAGCTTGAGAATTAGAATCTGAGTCGTTTTCATTTTCTTTTAAACTGAAATAAAATTACATTAATATTAATAAAAATACATAAAAATAGATTTATCAATTATTTTAAATATGTTTGCTGTAATAACACCAACAAGTATTTGTTTTGTTTTTTTATATACAATCTTTATAAACGCATTATTCTATACAAGCGTTGTAATCATACATACATTGTTTTATTTTAATATAAAAACAGTTAAAAAAAGAAATAACTTAAATACACTCATACAAAAATATAAGCCACAGCAAACATTGCTAAATTAAAAAAACTTTTTTTATATTTCAAATATTATTAATATTTTACAATAAGAAAATTAATATTTATGTATATAGGCGCAAATATGGTGGGGTTTGGGGGGGACTTAGCTCCCCTGATTTTATCTAAGACTTTAGGCTCCAATATTTACTCTTATAATAAGATTTAATGTATTAATAATCAAATGTGGTTTTAGACTGCTCTTTATGGCTGTACATAATATTATCTTAAATATTATTTATTTTTTTACATTTTAAATATAGAGTTAATTGGCTTATGAGATGCTAGGAAATTTAATCTAAGACTTATAAATAGATAATTTATAGTTTAAGTCTTAAACTTTAAGAGGACGTCGCATCCACATGTGTTGTCTCCATCTTACACACGTACGACATGGTAAATTTTTGTTCATCAGTTTCAATAGTGTGATATTAGAATGAATTAACCTATTATTAAACTTTAAGGTAAGAACATTATTTGTGTTCTCTCATTGATTTTCTACGATATTTTAATTTTTAAGTGAGTTATAAGTATACTCAAAGTAAAAAACCTAAGAGAAAACACAAATAATGTTCTTACCTTAAAGTTTGATAATAGGTCAATTCATTCTGTGCCACCAGGCTCCTACGTCAGGCGGTTGGCCTAGGATGGCAAATTATATACCCAGAATTAAATTTATATTTTAACCTTTGTACAAGGAGCGGGTGACCAAAATGATTATATAATATTATAAACAAGTTTTTTAATGTACCGTCGTGCTACAAATATATATTAAAAAACAAAATTTTGCATATAATAAATATGATAATATAGAAAAACGGGCGCCCAAATACAAATAATATATATATTATATACCGGTCGTCTGTGTCACCACTCACCAACGCCTGGATCATTAATAATGTGACCACTGACCAATGGGCTGATTATAAAATAATAATGTACATTGCGATCAGGTCCTTGACCTCCGAATCGCATGTTAAAAATACGACAAAAAAAAAAAAAAAAAAAATAATAATAATATTGTTTTTACTGACCGGGGTTAATTTAAAGACGTCGCGTATACTTAATATAATATTATCACCCTCACTTCTAACGAAGATGACAAATAGAAATAATTATAATATAATTAAATACACACGCGGTACAGGGCAACACAAAATATAACGGCACAAAATAGCCAAAAAAGAAAAGAACGGCACAAAACGGCCAATAGTGACGGCACTGAACGTCGCACACGTGGCGAAGGCTACAACAACCAAAAATCCAAGCAAAAGTCGTAAGGGCGAAGTCTCGTCCGACCGTTGTGCGGAGAGGACAACAACTGGTTAAAAATACGTCCACCGCTGGACAAAACGTCGATTGCACACTGTCAAGATGAGAGGAGGGTGACGATAGAGTTCAACGAGCTTATCACGCACAAAGGTCGTTGGGCTCGACAGTCGACACCGAAATATCGCCGAGCAACGCGATAAGCGAAATACATTTTGAACACGTTCAAATATCAAAACTAATAAATAGAGTAACTACACTACATGCAGATACACCGGTACATGTATATGTCTTACTGTGAATAAAAACAGTTGACTTAAGAATCAAAAAAGTTATTTTTATCGTTAACAACAATAATTATTGTTATACAACAGGCTATGCTTAATGTTACTATAGATCACACGCCACCGCGATTCCGATAACGTTCGTATAATCGCTTATTTCCGGTAACTGGTCCTCACCGGTTAACGCACACACACGCACGCATACACATTACATAAAACGCTCATGACGTCATGGTAACGTTCTCGATGTCGCACAAATTATTAACAGAATGACCCCAACCATAAGAGATATACATGTCAAAACACACTATATAATGAAATTGGTGAATGAAAATTTACTAGGTATGTCGTTCGTGTGTAAGATGTAGAAAACATATGCGGGTGCGACGTCATCTTAAAGGTATGACATTATACAAGTGTATATACGGGTAAACGGCTAGCGAATTTCCTATTGTCATTGTTTATTTTAGTTTATTAGTTGATTACCTACCGTCTGTTATCATTAACAAAAATCTGTTGTCGGTACGTTTTCTAAAATTATGTTATATGTCTGTACGAAATATTGTCTATTTCTATGAGTTCAGTCTCCAGTATAACAGTTAATTTGTCAAATTTGTCGTTATGACACTATTCTAAAAATAGTTTTACTATATAGTTACATGTTACTATAATAGCCAGTATCAGTGTTAATGTTAAAAACTTTTGCTATAAACTAATCAATTCACCTTATAATGTATTAAAAACAATTTGAATTACGGATAACAAATCAGTATTTAGCATTTTTAACATAAAAAAAGTATATCAAGTACTCATACTGAAAGACTTCAAAGAAGACAATGATGGAATTCTACAGTCATCACCCAGAGTTGTAAGTAGCATTTTTTTAACATTTTGAAAGATTGATTCATCTGGATCTGGGAGCGTTACAACATTACTAGAATAAAATTAAAATCTACTATTAAACTTTTACCAAGATCCACAAATTAATAGTTTTCAGTCAAATACCAGGTTAAATGATTTAGGTGATATTGATTCAGGTCCTGCTAAAGTTTAGCAGCTAAACCTATATTAGAAGTAAGTTTTACAATTTAATTATACACCTAGTTATTATTTTGATGTTGAATTGTGCAGTACAAAAATTAGATATTTTACTCTGTATTTTATTTTAAAATATTTAATTATTAAATATAATAGTGTATTGTCTATAAAGTATACATTAAAGTGTTTCTATTATATTTTTATCTTCCAACAAGGCTTATTAGTTAGTAATAAATAATAATTATTAATTTTATTCTCCTGTATAGAAATACCCTCAGACACAATTTGGTTTACAAAATAGAGGTTTATCTCCTACAATATATAGTTGTTTTGATTGTATAGAGTATGTTGTTGTTGAAGATGCTGTATTTAGCTATTCTTGTAGAATGTTAAGGACTAGAATTGTAGCTAACATGGAATTTTCAACTTAAGGATTTAGAAATTGGAAAAAAGTAAATGTTAAATAACTATATAAACATACTTAATAATAGTTTAAATAATTTTGTTGATTTTTGGCTCTAAGGAATTGGATCAAAATACACTAAATCAAAATTGGAGTTACATTCTAGTTGTTAGTACCATTTGACTTGTATGATAAAGTGGTATGCACTTATCCAATCTAAATCTACTGGTTCTGTTAATACATTAGTTATAAATGCAAACCGAGATCGAATATTAGAAAATAAAGAATACATGCTAATATTAATTAATATTATATTGTTTTTGGCACATCAAGGAATAGCATTTAGAGGTTGTATTGAAAATGAAACATCTTTGAATCAAGGTGAGTTAGGTGAATTTAGTACCATATAATTTTTTTTTTATAAGTACCTACCTAACTGATGTCAGTGGTGGCTATCTTAGAAATTACAACAGGTATTCGCTAAAATAATCTGGTTCCAACCCACATTGTCCTCAAATAATAAAAAAATTAAAATATATATATATGTTTTGTATATATTATATGAAAAAAGTAATATATAATATTAGAACAAAAGCAATTTAACATTTATAATTGTACATTTTTTCATAAAATAATACATAATATAAATACAGTATAAAATTATAAATGCTTGGTTAAAACAATACTTTGTTCTTTAAAATTTTGTAATATGTCTTTCTTATTTATCGCAATGTCATATTCACAGCTTATTATCACTAGATCCTCTAAACGTATTTGTGTCATAGTTGTTTGTAAGCAAGATTTAATAATTTTTAACTTGGAAAATGATCTTTCTGTCGACGCAATAGAAACAGGTAGAGTCAAAGCAATTAATAAACTTGTGTTTAATACTAGAAAAATACTAGCTAACTGGCTATCTTGGACAATTTTATAAACAGATTTCATGCTGTCTATATTAGTAGAATTCAAATGTTTTCTTTGTGTCAAATTATAATACTTAGGTACTATAAAATATAATTATTAATAAAATAAAACAGTATTGTTACCAACCAATACCCATTACCTATCCACCAAAATGAGGAAGGCGTGCTTGAGCTCCTTTTTATATACTAGATAGTTGCCACTAACTGATATGAATTAATTATATACTTATTTATATTATTTGTCATGTTTACTGTAGGTAACTTAAAAGAAGCATGCAGACTAATGGCCAAGTATAATCCAACTTTTGTTTTAAATTATGCTAAACCAACAAATTATATGAGTTAATACAAAGTGAAATTATTGAGATATGTGCTAAACATGTAAGGAATACTATTGTTGAAGATATAATAAATTTTAGAATGTATAGCATTTCGTGTGACAAAGCTCAGTAATTTCTTAATATCATATTGTTTGTTTACTTAACTGGCTTTAATCTAAATTTTGATAATAGTTTTATATAAAAAAAAATTTTAGATGTCACAACAAAGAACAGTTAGCTGTGTATGTTCGTTGTCCAAAAAACTGTAGAGTAGAGGTCAGGAACATGTAACTCTTTAACATGCAATCTGTGGCTCTTTGAAAAATACATCAATAAAGATTATATTATACATAATTATAGTAATAATTGATAATATTTCTGAATTAAGTAAAAGAACTATGACTAAAAATAAAAAACTAGAGATGAGCATAATCGAGTGATTTTGATAATCAAATGATCAGCAATCGGGCATTTTCATAATCAAGAGAATCTCTCGAAACATCACTCAAAATTAAAATCATTTTTTTGTATGATAGAATAATGACTATTATTACTTATCAAGAGAATCAAAAAATTACTCGAAATATGAATAAACTTAAATACTTTTAAAATGCTTTTTTTTATTTGTTGGTATAATAGTAATTAAAAATTAAACTATAATTTAAGAATATTAATAACCAGGATATATTAATAATGCATAAAAAAATAAGTTTTTATTTTTTTATTTAATAATTATTATCTAAATTTTAAATTAATCTGTTGGTCTAAGTTCTAAGATATTGTAAATTCTTAGTAATGAAAAAATTCTATTATACTTTTTTATATGTTTGAAATGAAATGTTATAAATAATATATTACAAATGTGTATAGCTACCAAATCCAGCAAATGTTGACAATGCATTTTAAGTTTCAAATAAAATTTATTGAATATTCTTCAAATTAAAAATATTAAATAATAGTAAACTAATACAATAACTTTATAACAGGTCGTGATACTAAATATATGATTAATTAATGTTTAATGAACAAAACTAGACAAAATATAATAATGTAAAAATGAATAATAAATTTTAAAACAAACTCAAATTTCTATTTAAAAATATAATGAATTCTAAATTTTATGGGAATAGCCAATTTTTATATGTATACTATTTTTTAGATTTAAAATATACTAAATCAATTACCAGATAATAATTTAAAACATTTCAAAATTCAATTATTTTACTCATAATAGAACTTATTCAATTACTTGATTATTTTACTCATAATTGAAATTATTTGATTGTTTTTATCATAATAAAAATATCTCAATTATGCCCATCACTAGTTCAAATCTGTACGACTCTTTGGACAACATAGTTTAGTAACTTTTTTAAAAAAAAATGGCTCTTTCTTACAAAAAGGTTCCTGACATCTGAAGTAGAGGAACGATTTGTTGGATTTTTAGATAAATTAAAAAGTCTTAAGGCTGACAATATAATTGGTATTCTATTACAGTTTTTAAAATCATTGAACTTAGATAAAATTAATATATTAGGTCAATTATATGATGATGTTGGTGTGATGTCAAATCATACTGGCGGAGTTCAGGCTAAGCTTAAAAAAATACATTCACAATAGCTGTTTATGTACACTGTATGGCAGACAAATTAAATCTTGTGATCATTAATATGCATAAATATTTGAAGGTGTGATCAAATGTATTCATACATGTAATAAATGTATGCATGTTTATTTCAGTAATAGAGTATGATATTCTGTACTTTAATAAAAATTATATGACATCAAGTATTAGAAAATTTAATTTTAGGACACACTGAATTTATTTAATGGCTTAGAAGAGCTATATATTTATTTTAGTCAACCTATGAAAAATAAAAAAAATGACTGACATTCAAGAAGGACTAGGAGTTAAAAAAAAAAAATCCCACAGTTGCCAGATACTCGATAGGTCTACCGTTATTACAATAATTGTAATTCAGTTATTAAAAATTTTAAACCTATTCTATATATTCTCGATGAAGAAATAAAATTACAAAAAGATTAAGATGTTGCCCAAGTAATAGGTACAGTATTTTTGGAAATTTGTGGTACATTTGTTTGTTCTTGATGATGTTTTAAAAATTATTAACATTTGATTGCTCAATTGTAATCAAAATCTACTACTCTTGGAAAATTAAGTTCATCAGTATGTAGTGTGATTGATACAATGAAAAATAATCGTTCAGATGTATATTTTGTGGAATGAAATTATTATATTTTGTGAAGAATATAATTTGTCATCGGATAGTCCTTCACAAGATATGTTATTATGATAATACCTATTACAATAAAACAAATTTGTGATTCAAATTATTGATATAGTTAAAATTAATTTAGGTAGCTCTAAACGTCGCAGAAGGGATAGTTTTACAACATTATGCTGTACTGTTAATTATTTCAGCTGAAGAAGACCATGTTAATCATGTACTAATAGGTACTTCAATAAATAAAAACTATTAGAAAATGCATTATTTTTATTCTATACTTGATACTATTATTGTCATTATGGAAAAACAATTTTCACCAGAAAGTATGGAAATAGCCCAATTTGTAGACAACTTTTTTAAATTAAACTTTAATGAAAGTATACGATTCACTTATCACATTATAGGGTAATTATTATTAGGAGCATTTTTTTCATAAACACTAAACCTAATATTAAGTTATAATGTATTTATATTGATAAATTGAGCTAAACAAAGTTATTTAATGTTTGAATCTACTTCTTTTTTACCATATACTTTTGAAAATTAATTTGTAAATAATAACTTTGAGGATTTATTCAGTTTTTCTAAACATTCTTTAAAATCAGAAATTATGGTTATCAAAAATGTCTTAAAAGTTAATGTTGATTTGGGAGTTTTGCGAAATCACTTAAAAGCATTGATTAGCAAATAAATTTTTCCAAATAATTATGAACTATTTAATGTAGTAATAACTTTTCCAATCAATTCTACTACTTGTGAAAGGTTATTTTTCTCATGAGGAGATTGAAAACATGGATGAGATCAACAATTCTCCAAGAAAGATTTAGTAGTTATGTGTTAATTAATATTGAAAATGATATTAATACTGACACAGTATTAGTATAAAATGACTACCAAATCCAACAGAGGAGAATACATTTAATATTGTAGTTACTTATTACCTAGTTAATAATAAATATATATATATTAACTAATATTTTTATTTGATGTGAAAAGGTTGTGGGGAATTTTTGTTGAAAATATCAAAGGGCTTGAGCCCTATTTATGTCTATGTAATGAATTGTGATACAACATTTTTAATAGATGAAATATTATGCTTTTATTGATTACACCATTTTAATTATCAGTATTTCACATTTAGTACATAAAAATAAAAAAAAATAAAATTATGAAATGAAAATCATAAATTTGTAGTTCTAAATTAATACCTAATCTAATAATTGTAAGAAGAAGTTTATCAAATTGACAGGAATCTAATAATTTCCATTCTACAGAACTTCCTAACGTTATGCAGCGTATAAAAAGATATAGTAGCACCGCACTACTTAATGGAAAAACATGAAAACGAATATGTACGTAAATGCGTATTAGGTAATCTCTATTAAACTAGCAGCAGAACAACAGAGAATGCATTCCGACGTACTTGCATAACTCACTGTTCAAAAAATCAAGCTGTTTAATTTTAAGCAAACGTTTGCAGCGATTTAAAATCGCGTCCGCACACGAACTATTCGCCTAGTGTGTAAGGGGCCTTAGGGAAAACGTGTGCAAACAATGAAAATGGCGGATGAAAGACGAGTGGGCGAAATATTGGAGGCTCGTTAGTGTGCCTACAAGCTATTACTCACCTGGGATTCATAATGAAGTCTTGCGAATAAAAATACTGGAAATCAGTGTATGGCGTCAAGATAATTCAATCAGAGGGCGGAATCCAAGAAAAATGAACACTGAATTGAACAGCGGGTTAACGATGACTTACGGAAATATGGAAAATGTAGTATTGATTATTCTTCGGAGCTGGACGCTCAAATTTCGGAAAACCAGTTATGCCAACTTTACAACAATAATTTTCCCGCATTATAATAATAAAAAAAAGGTTTTATGCCTAGCCGACATTGTCAGCATTATACCATAAAAATGCCCTTATTTAAGTAGTTAAAAATCTAACCACCCTTATCAATTATAACAACTGGTTATCAATATGAATATAAATGTGATACTTCATTATGTATTATTTGTTCAACATGTTGATGATCCTGGGAGAAATCTAGTATTATAGGAAGTATTACTCAAATATGTCCGTGGTCCGCCTGCCACTGTCGTGAAATACACGATAATATAACCTAATAATCTCGTTCGACATTGTGATAGTTTTTCCACGTTTGGTGATATTCAATCGTACGTAATTCGGACCGATTTCATTTATTTTCTTCATTATCCTGATGTATCGTCGCCATTAAATCATGGTAAGTATTGTATGACTAGTATTAATTAGCTGTAGCTTTTGGTTCAAACTTTTGAAGTGTTCTGAAAAACTAAAACGGGACGCGATGCGTCCCTGTACTGTTTCACTCGAACACGGTAAAATTCGATCTTCCAGTTATGGATGTCATACGAATAGTATTTGATTTATGTCATTACATATATTTTTCAAAGATTATTTCTGATCGCTGTTATTGTATCATTGCAAACCGTATTATAACGAAACCTATATTATTATGCCAGTATACAACTTGTAAAGTTACCCCAGTGGCGTATCCAAAATTTTGAACGGGGGGGGGGGGGTTAAAAGATTGAGGTATAAATCGGGGATGATTTAGCAAATTATAAGATGAGTGCCAAAGCATGTCATTATTTCTCTACATAATCGTCATTGAATCAATACATTTTAGAAGCCTACGGACCAGTTTTTGTATACCCTCGTTGTATACCTTCCACTTTACCTCCCGAAGCCAATTTTCGACAGTATCCTGGACCTTCTCATCATTTGAAAATCGTTGTTCACCCAAAAACTCCAATTTATTGAAAAGATGATAATCCGATGGTGCCAGGTCTGGGGAGTTGGGTAGGTGAGTCACAATATCCCACCCAAATGAAACAAGCAGGTGTGTCATGAAGGAGTGACACACCACAAGTCAGCATTCCTCTCCTTTTGTCCTTGATTTTTTTTTTTCAACTTCTTGAGTGTATTACAGTATACAGCTGCGTTTATGGTGGTTCCTTTAGGATGAATTGCTAAATGCTTCTTTATTTGTTCATAATTTGATATTGAAATACTTATAAAAAATTTAATTGAGTACCTATTACTTACAGGCGCGGATCCAAGGGGGGCAAAGGGTCGTGCCTCCCCGTAGATTAATAATAAAATGTTTCATATTTCATGTAAAATTAATTTAATCTAAGAATTATTCACCTTTTATTTTATTTTATTTATTTTTTCGTTGCTTTCTATGCGTCTGCCTGAAAAATTTCTGGATCCACCCCTGTGCCCCTCCTCCCGTAAATTTGTTCTGGATCCGCGTCTAATTGCTTACTACAATTCGAAATAAAGTTTTTTTATTCAACTAATTTAATTGCAACTACTTAATTATTATTATTGATTTTTTTTGTTTAAACATTTTTATTAGATTTTTAAAATAAATTTCCATAGTTAAAATTAGTTTTATTGATTAATTATAAAAGCATTTAATTGAACCATTAATTTGTGTACAAAGTAGTCTATTACTTGATAGATAACAATTATTAAAATATGTTTTATTAAATAAATAACAATTAAGCTCTAAGTATATTATTTGTTTATCTACTTATTATTTTCTTGTTAAAAATTTAAAGTTGACAAAATATTTTTTTAGGATTTGGAATTTCTAGATGTTAAAAATATTCAAACTTATCAAAAAAATCACAAAATCCGTATTACATTGAGTTCCATTAACATCAAAAGTTTGAAAAGTGGTAAAAAATATTTTTATTGTTTTTTCATGCTAGTATATTGTCTTGTTAATTAAAATAATTCTTTGTAGCCTGCTCCGCAATGATTGCCAATATCAAACAGAGAAAACTGCCAGTTAAAAGACCAAAGCGTAAAACAAAAATCTTGCGTATAATTACAAGAAAAACATCTTGTGGTGGAGGATTTAAAACATGGGACAGATTTAAAATAAAAATTCTCAAAAGAGTGATCGATCTCAAATGCTCAAGTGATGACGTCAAACAAATCATTAATGTCAACCTCGAACCTGATGTTATTGTCGAAGTTAGCATTATTAGCGAGTAATATATTTTTTTTATATAATATGAAATTTAAATAATAGGTACGCGATAACTTATATCATGTCTAATAAAAGTTAAAAATTACGTCATGTCGTTAATTTAATTTATTTTTTCAAATTACCAGTAATTTAAGTTTTACTAGAAAACTGTTTTATGCTGGTAGATTATTTTTTTTTTCTCTTAAATACTCTAAACAAATATTAAGGTTTTTATCTATATCTATTTATGATATTTGTATAAATAAAAATTTAATTAGATATATCTATTCATTCTTTAATTTGAATGTTATGTATAACTTTTTTGCAGTCTTTTCAGTATTTTTTTAAAAAACCTAATTAAATAGTTTTTATTAATCCTTAATGGGTAAATAGATAGTTAAATGTAGGCAATAATCGCTAATAAATGGTAAGGAATTTCTAAACACCTATTACATAGACACATTCACTTCCATATGTAATTCATACACAATTTTCTCATATTGTATCGTATTACATTTATTTTACATTTACACACAAAAATACAAAAAAAAAAAAAAAAATAAAAAAAATACTAGCCGATTCTAGTTGTTGATAATATATTGAACAGTCAGTCAAAATTTTTAGTCTATTTTGAGTACAATTTAAAAATATAAATTACCTCTAGACGTATTTGATATTGAATTATTACTGGGAGGATTTTAGTATTTAAGTATTTTTTTTCAGAGAAGCCTACACAAAAATTGTCTAGCTGTTAGTATAAAATAATTTAGTGTAAAAACCCAAATAACAAATAAGGTTTTAGTTAAAGTTCTTAAAAATAATAAAGTACAGTTATTGCATACTTGGTATTAATAATTAATACAAAATTATGATTCTCAATAGTTTTTACACCATTAAATAAACTTATTAGTTTTAATTGCACATATCTAGTGTTTGAGTAATTTATTGAAAATATACTAATTTACTTTATTTGTGCAGAAATTATTATAAACAATGTACCTAATAATTGTATTTTTAACATAGAGGAAATTTATGGTAAATGATAACACTAAAATACAATTTTTATAATCAAATATAAAAATATATTGTTATTTTGTGACTTGGTCTATACTCTATGAAAATAACTTAATATATTTTTAATAATTTTATGATAAAATAGAATGTATTAAATATATTATTAATTAAAAATTCAAAGAAGAGCATTATTTATGTCTAATTATTCAATAATATTTATTTGTGATATCGATAATTTGCAATTATTGTCTTATAAGCACGTGCCGTATTTTCCAGTAGACACTACTAATAAAAAGTGCTTACAGCGGCAAATTTTGAATATTTAAAATTTTTTTTGTTCACAAACTAAATTTTGTTGGTGATTTTTGTTTATACTTCTTAGTTATTTAATAAACGTGCAATTTAGGGAAATAATATTAAAATATTACTATCTGCTCATTGACAATAACATCTAGCATGAAACGATAAACGATTAATTTTACAGGTTAGGGGTTTTATTATTATCATTGAATTCTCTCTCTCTCTCTCTCTCAATAGTATTGATATATTGTATTAGTAAATTATTAATAGGCTATAAGCCTATAGACCATAAGCGCAAAATATGATCGAATCGCAATCCAAAAGCGCAAAAAAAAAAATTAAAAAATAAATACTTTTAACAAACCATAAGTGCAAATAAATTTTACAAAAATAGTGTATTTTGTAAATTTGATATAAGTTAATGCTGTATATTTTGACATATTGTATAGTTACCGTATTATTATCAACCTTCACCGTAATTCGTTACGATAAAATACAATAAGATATTACTAAACTTCAACTGAACTCGATCACTGTTGATGTTCCTTTGAATTATAAAAATATTAACGGCATTAAATTTATCAAAAAAATACATGATACTGTCCTTTACGAATATTTTTCGATCACATTTCGATTGAATTTCCTACATTTTTATACTTGTTTTGTATTTAACTGTGTACATACTTTTTGAACACTTCACTAACGTATGCTTGTAAAATGTTTTAGACAATAATGACACCGAACTATCAGATGAATAGCAAATCTTACTTTTATTATCATATTATTTTTATTATTACGATATAGATAACGCGCGACCTTTCTTTTTTATGGACGTTTTAGATTCTACCTATGTAATATATTATGATCTAAGGGTTTTGCGTGTGAATTAATACTGACACCGATATATCGGATGAACAGCTTGATTTACTTTTATCGTTATACTTTATTACAGTCACGACTCACGATAGATAACGTGCGATCTTTATTGTCGATTGACATGTTTTCGTCTTATAGATTATATGCCAATCATTTATATTTATAAATTATTTAAATATATAGAAATTCATGTTTTACTGGAATAACTATTTTTAATGTTTATTTTAATTTGTATAACTAACTATTTATTATACTCTCATTTTAATTTCAAATTAATTGTAATATTTAGCAAAATTGTAATTTTAAATAAATAGAAATATTAGTTGGCGCCGAAACGACAGAGCCAAAACGGCAGTGCTAAAATGTCTGTGTACTATACTACTATATATTATTTACCTTAACCTTGACGAGATTGACCTATGGCAGGAGTGCAGCAAAAAAGGAACGTAAAAGCCAAAACAAAATATTCTTATATTATTAGTAATATATATACTAACCTATATATCATTTATTTAGATTATGTGCAAATTGTTATTCTATATTTTTATTTTAACCACAAATGCAGCGTAACTACTCAATTTGAATTCAATTACCTATTAACCATTACATACAAAAAATAATTTTGAGTGATGAAGACTTATCGGGCTGAAACATTTTTAAAAAGAGGCAAAATATATTCTAAACAAGCGTGGGAAAAAATGATAATAAAATATTGGTAAAAATTGTAAAGGTCTGAAGTAATTTGGTTTTTAATAATAAAGAAAAAAAACAAAAAAATTGATTTAGTTGAATAATAATTTTGCGTAAAATTTAATTTAACTTAATTTTCCTTAATTTGTTTTTTGTTTTTCCCAATTATTTTTAAAAATACTTTAAATTTTTAATTTTTACTCTTCCCTCTGTCTTAAGTACCGGGTAGATATAACTTTCTATCACAAACAACTTCTAAAGTTGAAAATTGAATTCTTCAAAAGGAAAAAATAGACAAAATAATAATAAAAATAAGACATAACATTATAAAATTAACACATTCCTTGCTTTTCTCAGAATCTAAAAAATGGTACTTATCTTAACTGCGTGGAATATAGAAATGTATAGTTACTTCGGTTTTGCCCAAATTACGTTGGCAATAACTGGGTTTACCTTAAAAATAAATAATAACGAAGTTCTTGCCATATACCGTCGAATTTTATCAAATTTTGATTTTTGTTACAAACATATATAAATGATGTATTATGAATAGAATGCTTATAGTTTAATTGTTCTCATAACATAACGATAATGCTTAAAAATAAGATATTATTAAATCATATTATAAAATAATATAATATAGTGAAACAAGTATAAAAGTTTATAAAAATAAATTACACATACTGCAAAAAGTTGGTTTTAAATTTTTTGAACAATATCATAATGTCAATTCAACTGTTAAAATATACAAACGTTACCGTAGTTATATATTAAACCAATAATTCCGTGAATAATTTTAAATATTCTAGTTATTCTACATTGTTATTAATATAATATATTTTATATTATTAAATAAGTTTATAAGCATATAACAATAAAGATGCTACAAGATTAGCATCATGTTGATATTTCTATATTTTTTTTCTAGCAAGTTAACATATATTACCCTAAATGATGTGTATTAACATAACCTGGTTTAGCACTTGGACAATACTATATAGAATACTGGGTGAAAAAAATTATATTTTTGCATCATTGCACTAATTCACGGTAATTGAACGGATAAACATGTTTTCAAGTTTATCCTTTTCACACACTCTGGATACGATTTTTGATTTTAGTGTATAAGTGGTATTATTGAATATATCACCTAAGTAGGTATTACATCAAAATTAATTAAGCACTTAAAATTATGTAATATAAAGTATTTGCATGATATACTATGTACATGTAATAATATATTGAATTAAACTATGATTCAATTTAAAAAAAATTTAAAATGTAGGTAGTTCAATATATTTATATATTAATATTTTTATGTACAAAGTATTTATAAATATTAACTATATTAATACTATAATAAATATAATATTTTAAGTAAAAAAAAAAAAAAAAAAAAAAAAAAAAAAAAAAAATAAAAATTTAAATTGTCCAATTAAAAAAAAAAAAAAAAATGCATAGTTTGTAATACATAATAATTTGACCTTACAATTCGCTACAATCATCAAAACACTAGATTATAATGTAATGAACATTTAAAAAAAATTGGTTGTTTTATTTTCAATAACAACTACTACTTTTATAATTTCATATAGGTATACTTTTCACGAATCTAATAATGAGATAATTAATTGACTTTAAGACAATAATGAGCTTTTCGGTAAATATTTGCTTAATACATGTACAAACGAAAGTCTAAAAATTAGTGGCTAGTGATCAAATAATATAAAGGAGCTTACTATTTAGATCATTTATTAGTTGAATAGGGTAGGTATTGCTTTAGAACCAGAATAATTCAAGTTTGAATTATGTTTGTTAAATAAATTAATGAACAATTGTTGATACATTTTGAACATGGTTTTTATGACTTTATGTATTATTTTAAGCAAATATAGGAATTAATTGGTTTGACAATTTGTTTATAGGTATTTTTTCAGGCAAAATGACGTACCAAATCATTAATAGATCCAAAGTATTATTTTTTTGAAACTTAAAATACACAATTTTTTATATCGATACAATAGTTTTTTTTCTCTTAAGAGAGGATTTATTAAGTTAAATGTCTATTGATCATGTTTTTTATACCTAATCTGTATAATTAGACTTTATATTATTTTAGATTCCGAGCAAAGGAAAGAAAGTATAT